GTGTTTAAGGCTGTTACAAAAGTATAGCGTTCCCTCTTCCACAGAGGCGCCAGGTATGTCTTCTTACACCTAAAAGCGATCGTACCCGTTCATTGCGTACGGCTAGTCCTGTCTCAAACGGTAGGGCAAGTAAAGACTTATCAAATCCGTTGATAGGCTGTGGATATTGCCCAAAAATACCAAGTATACGCAAGGTATACATAAATGTTTCTTAAAACTAATTTTCATTATGAAAATTGAAATAGAAGATGGATATTAATAACACTAACCCTTGTCTGTTTAAAACGTACTACCTGAAGATTGGTACTTTGCTCCAACTGATCTTTATCAAAACCCAAGAATATTTCATAATATTCTTCTTGGATACTTGGATCTGTAAAAAATTAACATAATTTGATTCAAAAAATAAATCTGTTATTTTTTATATTCTTCAACATTAAAATCCAACGGATTCTTCATACCGAAAGGACTGGCCTAAACCTCTTCTTTCTACCCCTGTACAATTTAAAGTTTTTATATAAACATGTCACAGTACTGTATACAAACTATTTTGATTATCGTTGATGCCATGGGACAAAAATTTTTGCTAAATTCAAAATCCACTGCTACGCATTCATTGGTTATCTATTGACACATCCTTTCGTACTGATTGTAAAGTGCCCTAACTGGTTTAAAAAATTGGTGGGAAAACTAGGGAATTTCCCAATGAAATTATCCCTCCGTCCAATCCAGGCATTATATCAGTATTTTAAAAGCCCATTATAAACCCAATCCTGCAGAAGCCCAAATATTTCCTTCCGCTTATGTACTATTGTATGGCTTCTTCACGCCTGGGTATATCAATGGTATTTTGGACACTCAGTAATGCCGTAGTTAACATATACCAGATTGCCTATGTTGGGTAAAAAGACACAAGATTAAAATGGTGGGGATCTTTCAAGAAACTTCTACAACGGAAACTTAAAATTGATCTCTGGATACGTGATAAAATTAAAAACAGGTTTCCTCCATTAACCTATGGCAATCCACTCTTGCACTAAAAGATCAAACGGCGACTTTTCGGGCATCGCCAAAAAGCACAATGCCAAAGCAAGGTTAGCTGCTGCTAAACTCAGATGAGTATTAGACGAATCCTGCCAAGAAATGCTTCAGCATCTCTCAACAGATTCTGATTCTCCAGTAAACGCCTCATCAAAGTAAAAAGCAGGCAGACTGTTACCCAGTAAATTATCTAAATCAAGCCAAACAGAAGTGGGCTGACATGGCTTCCTCATTTCCTCATCAACATCATTCGCCACGTATCCTCCACGAAAGATTGTAATGATGAAATTTGAATGCGCATTATAAGTCAAAAGTAAAAGCCTGAGAAGGCAAGAAGAAAATTAAAAACAAAAAAAGCAAAAGCAAAAGAAAAAGAAAAGAAAAAAGAAAAGGACACATCGTCCTACATCTGAGTAAAAGGCAGGTGAAACCCTTATTTCACCATCATTCAATAGTAAAAGTTAAATCACTGTTTCTTCTTCAGGAAAACCCAAACGCATCCATCACAGTAAAGATTCGATGGCAGACCAACAAAACTATCATCCACAGTAAAGGTCAACCACTGTTCAGATTCGGTGGCAGACCAAGCACTGTTTCATAAATAGTTAAAAAGTAGAATAGTAAAAGATTCTTTTCCTATGTTATTTAACAGGTGAGCCTTCCTCTTTGTGAAGGCATAAGCTTGTATAACCAAAATATTTCTAAACTCTCTCATCCTCCCCCTAAGAGTTTCTTAGTAAGCAATATTCGAAGTCCCAGGTCTGGATTGTAAAACTCTAAAACTTGTAAGTTTAAATTTGAATTTCATATTTATAAAGTTATTTTATTTAAAACTTATATAATTGCTACTACTAAGCCCCTGTTAAAAGGCTTCGCTTCTCTTCTTCCCTCCACAATCTGACTTAGTTGCTGGGGATCCCAGGCTAAGGTTGCAAGGAACTCAAACCTTAATTAAAAAAATCAGATACTTAAAATTGGTTGAAGTTAATTGATAAATATTATTTTTGTATAAAGTATGCCTCTGTTTTGGTTGCACCTCTGTGTGATCTCCCACATCAGAAATATTGTTCTTGAATCGTTCATACATAAACTGTTCATTTACTGTTTCAGATTAAAAAACAAATACTGTTCATGCTTTAAAACAATTACTGACTGTTTGAAAATTTAAAATTCTTTGGTATAATCAGCTGGAAACAACATAACCTCCATGGTGTTTTATCAATTGCAGCTTTGATAAACAAGGGAAAACTTTGGTGCTAGCAAACGCTCTAAGTACACATATGAATTATTATTCATGTTTTTGTAAATTTAAAGAGAAAACAATATTTTAATACAATATATAATATTAAATTTAAAATATTTTTGAAATATTAATTGATTTAAATAATAGAATCTAATTTCAGTTGATATGTTTTAGTATTAATTGGATAATATAATATCATTTCTTGTTTTGAGTTTATAATATATATATATATATAAATATATATATTATATATATATATATATATATATCAAAAATTATTAGCTATCAAAAAAAAAAAAAAAAAGTTTTCCATGCTTTATATCAAACATTCTTTAGATGATCTGTAAATTTAATGGAGCCTCAAATTAATATCCCAGTAGAAAGATGGTGGCTTTGCGATAATAACTAAATAAAATATTGGTGGTGGTGGTAGTTATAAACTTGGTACTACCGTTTTTCACTTATTTTATTTTTATTGTTATGGAGGTTGATTTTGGAACTGATCAGGGAAGAAAAAATCAGAAAAGCAAGTTTGATGAATTTTTGGATTAAATCTGGCTGCCTGCTTATAAATTTAGGACCTTCAAAAAATAGCAAAATAGTCAAGATTCTAAATTTCCCAACTAAAAAATTTGAAAATTCAAAGATTTCCCAACAAATCTTTCCTAATTTTCCTTCTTCTCATTTCCATAATTGGTTTAGGTTTCAGCTTCCAAAACTGAGTGCACACCTGAATAATTGAGGAACTGTAAAATATTAAATCATAATTTGGTTTTAACATGATGAAAACCTCTACATGTTCTAATATATTATGCTATTTTTTAAAGATAGTGGCTGAAGATTCTATAACAGAAAGATATTTTGCAGCATAAAGAAAAATTGGCACTGACCTGATAATTTGCAGATTCAATTTAGATGGAGCATGAAGAATTCTTGCAATCTATTACTATAGCTAAAAGTCTGAATTTTTTGCTAGATTATTAAAATAGTTTTATCAGTTAGTTTTCTTTCTTCTTTTCCCCTAAATTGATCTATTGAACTCATTTAAATTAATTGAATATTATCATAGGTTTGAAAAATTCAAACCCATAAATTAATTCAGCTCTTAATAATTCATAAATAAAACAAAAGGAAAAACCAAAAGCTCAACATTATCAATTTTCGTTTACAGTAAAACAAAAAAACCAAACTAGTAATAACTATAATTATTAATAATAATAATATAACAACAACAATAACACAACATTAACAATATTTAATAATAATAACAATAAATAATAAAATTGGGAAAAATACACAATACGCAAAAAAAAAAAAAAAAAAAGAACATTTCCGAAAAAAAAATAAAATGGCCATAACCGGCTTACCTCAAATGGTGTCCAGAAGCGGTGGGCGAAAACGGCGTAAGAGGAGTGACCGGAGCGTCGGTGGCGGCGTCAACAGGGGCTGGAGCAATTCTCAGGAGGGGCTGGAGCGGCGCTGCGGACGGAGGAGAGGAGAGGAGAAGGAGAAGAGAAGAAAAGAAGAAGAAAGAAAAGAAGAGGGAGCGTTTAAAAGGCCCTAACATTTTTTGCGACCGAGCATATCGTCGGCAACGTATTTTAAATCGACGGTCGCAATTTTTTAATTGTCCGACCGTCGTTTTAAACTACGGCGAAGATTTTGTGAACCGATTGGCGACTGAAATATTCGGTCGGCAAACCGAATCGGTCCGCACCTTTTATCCTCCATTTTCGGTCCAGAATTTATCCATTTTTTTAAGCGCGCGCATTTTTTGCGAACAGAACACAGTTAGTCGCAAAGCGGTCCGCCAAAATCGGTCCGCAAGGAGTAAATAATTCAGTGCGCAAAACGGAGGAGGCAAACTCGCGCGAAAATTTTTCCACAGCTAAAAATTTTGCAACTGATTGGCAAACAGTCGGCAAATCGGTCCCGCAATATTGCGACGGTTTGGGTCGGTCGCAAAATGCGTCGCAATTTGGCGTTTTTTTTGTAGTGTTTAACATTTGATATTTTATAAAATAATTTACAATTTATTTAATTTAATAAGAAAATTATTGGTTTAAATTATTATCCACATAATTAATCTCATAAATTTACCTATCCAATATAAGTTAATCCAATATAAGTTAATCAATATAAAGAAAATTTTCATTTTAAAAAATTGAATTTAATATATATATATATATATATAATGATTTGGTTTGATTTAGACGGTTTTGACTCTAAAACTATAAACTGAACCAAAAGCTCAATTTTTAAACTTTACAAAGACAAATCAAACCATCAATCCTTTAAAACTGCAGTTTTAAATTAATTTAAATTGGTTTAAATTGATTTGGACGGTTTATGCGGTTTGATCAACCTCGCTAATTGTTGGGAGCAACGGATCGGGCCCAAATAGTTAGAAAAGGTCAAAAGATAATTTTACTAATAGTGGGAGTAAAAGTAAAATATTCTTTTTCCAAAAATTTTTCACTCAAAAATTTTGAAAAATTTTTAATCTGAGGGCCACAGCCCCTTCCAGACCCCCTGGGTCCGTCGTTGTTTCTGACAAACAAACACAGCTTTGAAAAAAAAATTAGACAGGAAATGACTGCCCAACAACTATATAGCTCACTGTTTCAAGTTGAAACTATTTTAACTCCAAACATGGAAGTTAATAGCCTTTACAAGAAAAAAGAATCGGAATCAAAATCTCTCAATCTCTCCCTCTCCTCTCAATCTCTCCCTCTCCCTCTCCCTCTCCCTCTCCCTCTCTATCTCTCCCTGTTTCAAAACAAGAAGTCAAGAAAAGTGGTTGAAGGCTATGGGAGAAGAAGCTGGAGAAGCACAAGAGACACCATTGTTGTATGATCAAGCAACAGAAACTACTCTCGAAAGGACTGGTTAGTATCCATTCTCTTCCTTCTTTAATATTCTTCATCTGGGTCTTCTTCTTCTTCTTCTTCTTCTTCTGGCTCTGTTTAACTATTCAAAAGACCTTGAAAGAAAAAAGATTCAGTTTCTGAAAACAAGTATACAAAGAAATTGGAAGGAAATCTTAAGTTGGGACTTAAGTTGGGAATTAATTTATCTTTCTTTGTACACTTGATGTTATTTTCCGATTGGATTACAAGTTATGGTTCTGAATTCCTGATATATACACTTGATCTTATAATTTTCTTGGATTCTTGTTCCTTTGCTTGGTCTCCTCTCTGTATTAATTTAATTATTTAAGATAAAAAATATTTATGCAAGGAAATAACAGTAAAGATTCTCTCAAGTTATAACTTTTTTACTATATCACTTTTTTCTACTATACCAAAAAAATATATATATATTTCGATTTTCTGTCAGACAGAATTTGGTCCTTGATCAGATTATAAATGAAAATCTCTTTTCATTATTTTATCACTATATTACTTATTATTATTATTATTAATTCTATTTTTTATTCTTTTAATATTAATTCTTATCTATGTAATAAATTTTGAAGTTCTTTTAGATTTTTAAATTTCGAGTTATTACGTACACTTAATTTATATATATACTATATATATATATATATATATATATATATATATTATATATACTATATTGCTACAAAAACATTTATATTACTGCCGAATTAAATAATTTACTAAGGTTCAACGCATAATAGAGTTCTATTAGATTTGCTCTTTTAGTATATATAATATTTCTATTATGTTTCCCTTATTTATAATACATTTTTCATTATAATTTAATCTTATTTATTGTTCATTTATGGATTATTGCAGGATGGTTAATTTAGTTATGTTTAAAATAATTGTAGATGTAGATATGGGTTAAACAAACCGACTGAAAATTAAACTGAAAATCAATGATATTATTCGATTTGTTTCGTTTCACTTTTGCTCACGAATAAGTTTAGTTTCTTGACACCTAGCTATTTCGCGCTTCATACTGACAACTTCCCAAGAGTAGTTTGACTCGATTTTTTATGCGAGAAGATGTAATTTTTAGACTTTTTACAACTGAATCAACCCAACCCCATTAAAACTTTTATTTTATTGGAAGACTTTTGATAGAATTGAAAATCCGTTTAATACGATTAAAAGTTCCAGTTTGAACATTTAAAATCTTCAAATTCGATTTGATTTTAATAATTGGGAATGGTTTGATTTTAAACATCTGGAACGTAATATTTACTCACTCTTTAATTGCGGTGACAATTATTGTAATATTATTTTTTTTATTATTACAAAACAAAAAAAACATTAATGCAAGGTCAATTCAATACTTCCTTCCCTAATGCACGTTCAATCTTCACCTAGTGAGTCTCGTTATATATACCACTCCTCTCATAGGAGGACAAATCATCTTGTCAACTCTCGCGGTGGAGAGTCGCTAAAACCCCCTATTTCGTATCGCACTGAACATGTCGTTCGAAATTTGCCAGTACATTAAGAAGAAATTACATTTTTTTTTCTGTGTCAATTATTCTTCAGCCAACTATATATATATATAATGAAAACCCTATGATACCTACAGGCCCCTCTCCTCGCTCTCTCTCTCTAGATCAAAACTTCTCATTATGACACTGTTGCGATCGTAGTCCCTATGAGTACAAAAATTCCATATAGTGCACAATCAGTAATTTTGACCTACTCAATAGCACGAACGGAAAGTAATTCCGAGTATCTGTCGGCTTATCCGGAGAGAACCGATATCACCTATTACTCACAATTCAAGCACAATCGCCTCACACCCTGTGAGTGCAGATAGTCCGTCACTACTCCCTCCACGCCATACTTATTATCCACATCTCTCGATCTAGACATTTTTTTACATTTCCACGTCAGTTGACATCCTCTATACTCTCCCTCAACTCTGTTCCTACTTGCACTCCTCTCTCTGGTGAAACTCTCTATATACCTCTATTCTGTAACCTGTCGCAGATAAAGTGAGTAGGACCTCACCTGTGTTTCATCCAGGGAGTCATTATCCATATATTATCCACACAGGATATAGATTTGCAGCTGAGAGTGTCCATATGTATGCTTATGTTAGACTTTACTGTATAACTAACTTTATAACATGTTACTTCTTATGTATTTTAATTCTACTTTTTATATAGCCACCGGATTATAGCATTGAGCCTACTATTCGAAGACAGTATCAACGCTTACTTCATCTACTAATCCCTCTTCGTCCTTTTTCTCACAAGAAACAACATTTTAATCTCTCAACGCGCGTGAGTGTCTTCATACTGAAACACACACACCGCCCCTTTTATCGATGTGGTGTCGCTCATACCTGGTATATCAATAATGATCAGTCCAAAATGCTCCTCATCTCTGCAAGTTCTTTTAAACAGTGGCCGACCTATTAGATTAACTTAGACAATATCAGTAGCAGAGAGAACTAAACCTTATAAATCAAAGATCAATCAGTCAATCTCTACAACTCTGACTATCACACCCCACAAATCGAAAACTATCCCTTAAAGTAGCGGTATACCTATACAAATAATACCTTTATACACTCTTACAATATATAATTATAAAATACAGAGTCACCACATAATAATATAATACTACCCTCGGAATAGTCCATTTTACTACCTAAAGGTAGACAAAAACAGAAAGTGTAGGGGCTCTACGAGAGTGTCGCGTGATTACTGCCGCAAATGGTGTCACTCACGATATGGCTATCGAGTATCAATCTACAAACTGTTGGTAATACTGTTGTTGACTATCGTGGCATACTATCTACTTCTACCAGACTTACAATATAAAAGAGAACGATGCTCAGCACGCTCTAACACCTCTTTAGCTGACAATTCTCTCTAAAACTGCCAAAAAGACGTGACCACATATCATTAATTCACGTTGGGTCACTAACTTCTAGTATTTTTTCTAGTCCTTTCAGCGCTCAAATAAATTTAACGTAGCACGAATAATAAGAAAAACAATATAAAAAAATTACAAAATACTTATTCAGCTTTTGTCGAGTACCTGTACACCTACTGGATACGAGTGAGCATACATCGGATGCGTGAGTTTATGAGATCTAACCTGCTACACAGCCTTCCTAGGCTGTCACCCTCACTTCATATAACGCCACACACTCTCTAGAGCACAATATAATGTAACTATGAGAGTCATCTAGAGAGACCGAATTGATCACTCACACCCATCGGCCAATATCACAAAGCTTAATATTACAGAATAAAACCCGTTTCATAACGTTCAACATATGCTAATAAAACAAATAAATTTATATTTAAAAATTACCAATTTTGAATTTCCAAAAAATCAACTTCTCTCTGCATGTTCTCAATTTAGAAAAAGTTTTGATGCGGGGACAAAGAAAAAAAAAAAAAAGACAAAGTCAAAGTTTATCAAATGGAAAATTACAAAGCCAAATCAATACTACCGGAGAGTCCAATATTGGTCAGTTAATGAGCTTTATTCACAGTATCTTTTTTTTTTCGTTTATTGTTCAAATTTGGCCCCAAATTTTAAATATAAACTTAAATAAATCTAATTAATTACTCGAAAAAGATACCATAAAGAAACTTTCTTATCATCCTCAAATAAACACCTCCAATTTCCCTACCATTCATAAAAAAAATTTCCATTTTTTTCCATTTGTTTCATCGGCTTTCAACAAACACACACGATATTAAGAAATTTAATCAATAAAACATATATTTGCCCCTTCTTTACCCCTAATCGATTTAGATTATTAATAAAAGTCACATTTATTTAATCAAACAATTCATAAGGTTGTACTATGGAAAAAGTCAGTTGTTTAAATATATAAATATCTAAAAATCTTGTAAAATTTTGAGCACGTCCAAAAAAAGCAAAACAAGCAAACAAAATGGTGATGAGGAAGTATATTTTTTTTCTTTTCTATCTCTTTCCTAAAATTTATTTTTTACAAAAATATATCCAATCAAGTCAATACACAACACAATACGAAAAAAACAAAGAATATAACTTTGTCTTCTTTCAGTATCTCTCTCGCCTAAATACAGAAACTTCTTAACATTATACATCATATGAAATCACAACGATTTTAAGACAAATATAAAATAGACAGATAAAAAGAAATTGTCAAATGTCTGTTATCATACTATATCTTATTAAAAACAAATTTTAAAAGATAAAACTTAAAATTTTGAAATTCTTAATTCTGTATTTATATGTTAATTAATAAAAAAAAACATTATTATAAAAAAAAACATTATATCATCTCCAAATAAATTTCTTAACATTTCCTACAGCCATTGCAAATAATATTATAATATATATAGTTTTTTCTTTTTTATATCTCTCCTAAATAAAATATTAATTATATATTATATTTTGAAAATTTATTTTTTTAAAAAACATATATCAAATCAAATTTATACAGACATAAAATAAAGAATATATGTTTTTTCTTTTATATCTCTCCTACAATAACAAATTTCTTAAATTACAATAAAAATAAAATCAAAATATAAAAATAAAAACATAAAAATTTGTCAAATATCTCATTAAAAATATTTAAAAATAAAACATAAAAATTTGTCAAATATCTCATTATCGTCTATTTTTATTAAAAAATAAATTTAAAAAAAGATAAAACTTAAAATTAAAAATTCTTAATTATCTATTTGTATTTATTTATAAAATAATTTTTATAAATTATATTCAATCAATTAATAAAATGTAATTTTCTAATTTGCTATAACCGAGACTATTTTAGATATTTCAAATTTCATAAAAAGCGATATCAAAAATCTCATCATTCTCTTATTTCTACATTTATATATAGTATAGATATTTATTTATTTATTTATTGGTATTGATTATTAAGTTGAATTGTTAGTTTTCAATAGGAAAGAGATTTTCATTCTTTTAAACTTACATATAATATTTATTTTGAATAGAATTCTATAGAAATCACGGTAATCTTTTGATTGTCATGAAGTTACTTGCCAGGAAATTTTAATATTTAAAACTTATTTAATATCTAATAAGTAATTATTTTCATATACTCTTTCTTTGTCTACGGGAAGAAAAATTAGAAGAAGGATTTGAATTTTTTTTTTATTTGAAGTTTTATTTAGTTGTAATTTGTAATATGAATTATTTTTAAAGCAATCCGCTAGCAAATGCATGTATTATATATAATTTTTCAAGCAATCCGCCAATAATTGTCCCCATATTATGGAATAAAAGAAATAATTGTTCTTTATTATTAATTTGACTTAGTTAATTTGAGAATTTGAGGATTTAAAGTTTCAAGTTTAATTTTAGTTTTAAATTTATTATTATCTTTTTATTAAAAAATTTCATCGATTAAAATAAACTAGGTTTAATTTATTTTTAATTCGCTAAGTCAAAAGATTTTGAAACTTTTTGCTAAAATAACCTAGGTTTTAATTTCGATTATTAAATTGAAATATTTAGGTGCTTATATCTATAAAAATCACAACATTTATTTTAATAAGTGATATTTATTTTTTTTATGCTTAATTATTTTTATATATTTATTAAAAAATAATTTAATAAATTTTATCCATTCAATTAATAAAATGTAAATTTCTAATTAGTTATAATTAATGTTATTATAGGGTATTTTTTAAATTTCATTAACGGTGATATCAAAAATTTTATTATTCTCCTGTTTCCATATATATTTGAGAATTATATAACGCATTGACTATGAAGAAATAAATTTTATGAAGGGACGGTATGGACGGCAGTGGCACATATAATAACGGGAGTGATAGGGTCGGGCGTACTATCATTGGCATGGAGCATGGCTCAGTTAGGGTGGATCGCAGGTCCATTAACTATGGTGTGTTTTGCTTTTATCACCCTTATCAATGCGTACCTTCTTTCCAATTGCTATCGCTCTCCTCATCCTGAACTTGGTCCTGCAAGAAATCCCTCTTTCCTTACTGCTGTTGATGCAAGCTTAGGTATGGTGTAAATTAAACTTTATTTTCTTTATTCTTTTCTTTATTTTCTTTATTCTTTTTTTTTTCTAAAAAATATTAATTATTTTATACGCAATTTATATCAATTAACTTAAGATAATACGGAAAAACTAAAGATAACAAGTATATAGACTATGAATTTGATAGTGAAGAATTATCAATTACATAAATTATTAAAAAATTGCTCTAAAAATTATTTAAAGAATTAGGTAATTTTAATTACATGATAATTGATAAATTTAGGTGATCTGGATTCAGGGCTAGTCAATTGCATGAGTTGACTCGGTTCGATATTACTTCCAATCTCTCTTCCCCCTGTAGATTGATTACACCTATATAATTTCATATAAAGATATTAAAGGTTAATTATTAAAAATTAACACTTTTTTTTTGTCAAAGCAACAATCATTAGTCAAAGCAACAATCATTAACTTTTATTTAAATGTTAATTATTGAGTGACGCCACTAAGTGGCCCAGTCATATATTATAATGGAAATCACTATTATATATCAAAATTATATTATTTCCTTTTTCTATTTATTATTTACTTTAGAAATTTAAGGAGAAAAGTGTGAAACTATTTAAAAATAAAATTGACAATTAATTATTGGAACCAATTGAAATATACTTTATATTAATTATTGGAACTAATTGAAATATAGTTTATAGGAAATCAGATTTAATCAAATTGAATTTTTTTTAGTGAATGGTCAAAAATACTTTTATTTTAACAAAAAATAATTTTGACTGAATGTATTTGTAAACTGAGTCTAGACAAGTCAATTTTTTATTTCCTCAGAATGGTTTATTTGTTCTTTTTATATATGACATCATGAGAAAGGCTGGTAAGATATTTCTTGGAAATAACATAATTGAATTGTCCAAAGGCATTTGAATGTTAGTTGCACCCTAGGCCAAAATAAGGCCAGAAAGGATTTAGAAGTTGTCACAATAAGGATTAATCCCTATCTACAATATAATTATTATCAAAATGCAATTTTGAGGTGATTTAAATTAAATTAAAGAACATCTCTGTTTTCTGATTATTTGGTGTGCAATAAGTTGATTTTGATGATTCAGGAAAAAAGGCTTCTTGGTTGTGTGGACTATTTGTGGAAATAAACTTATATGGAGTAGGAATTGCTTATAATATTACATCTGCTATCAGCATGAGGTATGTTAATTGATGAACTGCTCCTTGTTAGGGCCCTCTATGCAACTTGCTAAAATTAATTCAAATCATCTAATCACTAATTCAAGCTGCTATAAAGCGGTTTGATGCGATTCAGTTTTCATTTTAGTGCTATACAAAATTAAACATAATGACTAAATTTCTTTCATTTTATAATTTCATTCATTGAAATTAAACATAATGACTAAATTTCTTTCATTTTATAATTTCATTCATTGAAACTGTTATCTTTTTAAGTCAACAATTTGGTATAAAACCAAACCAAACCATTAAAATTAAACAGCTTAAAACTGGGAGTTAGCATTTCTGAAGATTGATATAATGCTGCTTTGTTTTTCTTATTCATCTTTTATGTGGATGAAGGGCAATTCAGAAATCAAATTGCTACCACAAAGAAGGGCATGAGGCTAGCTGTGAATATTCAGACACTTTCTATATGCTAATATTTGGAGCTGCTCAAATTATAATGTCTCAAATACCAGACTTCCATAACATGCAGTGGCTTTCATTTGTTGCTGCTGTCATGTCCTTTGCATACTCCTCCATAGGATTTGCACTTGGCTTTGCATATGTTATAGGTAAAGTTAAAACTCATCTACCATTTATTTAAATTTTATAATTTCTATCACCAAATCAATATCAACTAATATGAAAGAAATTTCATTTTCTCTATGTAAATAACAGAGAATGGATATGTTAAGGGTAGCATTACAGGAGTCTCTGCCTCTAGTGCATTGGCTAAATTATGGAAGATATCTCAAGCGCTAGGGGATATTGCGTTTGCATATCCATATGCCTTAATTATTTTTGAGATACAGGTATTTTTTGTAAAAATATTAGTTGATTACATTACATCACATTCGATTATAATGTAACGGGCAATATTTGAATTTGAAAAACCTAAAAGGATACCTTAAAATCACCTCCGCCGGAGAATGAGACAATGAGGAAGGCCTCTACCAATAGCAATCGCTGTGACAACATTTTTCTAATCTGTGTTGTGGTTTTTAGGTTTTTGGGATAGCAGCTTTTGGAGAAGGATACACCTGGAACATCTCTTGAAACAGGATTTGGTTTTATCGAACCATATTGGGCTTATTGACTTCGCTAATGCTTGCATACGGTGCTTCATCTAGTAGGGAGGCCTATCAGGTATTTCCTATATAGTATATATTATATATATATATATATAGTATATATATAATCTTATTTTATATATGTTCAGCCATTGTTATTGTCTTTGGCAGGTTTACACTCAGCCAGTATTTGCAACGATTGAAAAATGGTTTGCAGAGAGATACCCAGACAACATATTTATCAACAGGAATTTCAGCTTGAAACTCCTGTTGTTGCCAGGTTGTTGCCAGCTTTCAAATTAAACCTCTTCAGGATGTGTTTCAGAACAATATATGTAATGTCAACAACTGCGATTTCGATGATCTTTCCTTACTTCAACCAGGTGATAGGATTGTTAGGAGCCTTAAATTTTTGGCCTTTAACAATATATTTTCCTGTGGAGATGTATTGCAGGCAGAGAAATATTGAAGCTTGGACAATCAAGTGGATTATGCTCCAAGCTTTTAGTATTGGGGTCTTTTTTCTAGCAGCATTTGCGTTGGTTGGATGCGTTGAAGGGCTTATAAGTGCAAAATTAAGCTAAGTATCATTCGCATGATGACTGTTGTTTGGAAGGAAAGAAAAATTGCATAGCTGAATGTTAAACTGAATGTTAAGTATGTAAAATAGACTTGTGTTTTATCTTATTAATTTTAAAAATAGCTCAATTGTATAGCTGTAGTTAGTTACCGAGATTGAGATTATAAGGTTACATATTATTATATAAGGAATCAAAGTTAATGAAAATCACATGGATGATTTCCTTCATGGCATCAGAGCCCTAATTTTTTCTCCTGCCTTTTTTTTTTTTTTCCAACCCTATTTTTCTTCTTTCTCTTTTCTTCTTTTCTCCTACATGGCCAGCAAAACTGATTTTCACCCGGCCCTTGCTGTCAACAATGTCAAACATTTCATCCCCATTACTCTTGAGATGGAAAAAGGACAATATTCATCATGGGCTGAACTTTTTAAAATCCATTGTCGTGCATATAAGGTGATTGACTATATCATTCCTCTAAAGTCGTCTAAAAAAGGCAAGGAACAAGCAGCTGAAGTCGATCCTGAGTTATGGTCACGATTACACGCCATAGTTCTCCAATGGATTTATGGCACGATTTCTAATGAGCTTCTTAACACCATCCTAAAGGCGGATACAACTGCACACCGAGCATGGGAACATTTGAAAAATATTTTTCAGAATAACAAAAATTCTCGTGTTGTTTATCTGGAAAATCAATTCACTCATGTTCATCTTGATGATTTTTCAAACGTTTATGCTTATTGTCAGGAACTTAAGATGCTTGCTGATCAACTTTCAAACGTTGGTGCGCCGGTCTCAAATCAAAGGTTAATTCTCTAGTTAATTGCAGGATTGAATGAGAATTACGATGGTGTTGCTACTTTCATTCAACAAAGTGATCCATTGCCTCCGTTTTATGAGGCACGTTCAAGGCTTATCCTTTATGAGGCAGGGGGTGAGCGTTAAACTCAATGAGTAGGGTTAGACAACCCTCTCACCTCACACATTCACACATATGATAATCATATTATACAATCACTAGCCCTCCGGCTAATTATAATTGAGCAAGCGAGTATAAATGCACACTTATCACAAAATTATAAATAAATAGTCTAAATTTTTCCTGAAAAATCAACTTTAATATGGTATACCCAATTTTAAAGGAATAATTATCAGATAACCAATAGTTAATTAATTATTTCTTTATTTAATAAAATAATAAAAATATATAATTTAATTCCAAAAAGATCAAAATATATTGTAAAACATTGTTTGAATGATGAATGTTTAAAATTATTATAATTATAACATTTAAATTTGTTATAACTTATATTTTGATATGTTTATTATTATATTGAATATATAATATTTGATTTGAATAATGAATAACATAAAATTAATAGTTATAAATTGATATTTGATTATGAATGTTACAGAAAATAATAATTATACACTTATAATTATGTCATTAATTTTTCACTACAAAATTATTTATAACTATATTTTGTTAATTTTGTATGAATACTATATTTTGTTAATTTTGTATAAATTATGATAAAAAAAATAAAAAGTAAAGATCCCTTGAACCGAATTGACCTAGTCTAATTGGAATTCAATTATCAAGTTAGTTTGATGTCCGGTTCGATTTAAAAAAAATGGTCAAAACCACATTTCCAATTGCATCAATGGAAATAAAACTCATATAGGGTTGTAATGGTCCATTCTAATCCGACCAATGGAAATAAAACCATATAAGGTCGCAAGGTATGAAAGGTAAAAAGAAAATAGTTAGAGTTAATCGGGTGGTGTTCTGATCGATACTGTAATTTTTTTTGCTTTCCACAAAACTATTTTCTAATCTAATGTCATTTCAAAATTATTTTCCAATCTAATGTTTGTCCCGATATGGAGAGAGTGTGTTGCACTAAAACAACCAATTGAGTTGGTGATTTCAGTGCAATAGAAAAAATAACTCGTACTGACAAACAGTCAGAAAAAATTAGTTATATGAATAAATAAATAAAAATTTTTATTTTGTATTAAGACCATGAAACCAACTGTTGGTTTCAATACAAAATGAAAATTTTAAATTATCAATTTGATTTTTTACTAAAACACACAATTCGTTTGGTGGTTTTAGTGTAACTATGGGATGTGACCGTTAGTCAGTAAAAAGTACATGAAAAAAAAAGTATTTTGTTAAGAGTCCACAAGACTAATTAGTGGTTTCAATAAAAAATGGTTAATTATAATTTTAGTCTCCGAACTATAGAAAATGTTCTATTTCAGTGTTTCAACGGAAAATTTTTGTAATCAAGTGTTTAAACTCATTAAAACTTATTAGAACTTATTAAAAATTTTCAATTTAAGTGTCCGCGGCTTACATAGCGTGCCGGAAATACAACTAATCCGATAACTAACATACCAAGTTGGAATTTTTGCCAACTTGAAAAAATATATTGAGTTGTCAACTGTAATTGGACATTTTGAGTGGAACCTAGAAAATAAAAGTTACTAAAATAACATTGTCTTCTATTGTTCAAATTTACAAAAATCATGGGAAAGTTAGAGATACGAAAGAGATAGAATTCGTTGATAAACACAGATTAAGGTTTTATTAGTGCTTTAGAACTCTATAAAGCTAATAACTTTTTGATTTACTCGTATTGCAAAAAAAAAAAAAAAAAAAAAAAAAAAAAAAAAAAAAAAAAAAAGAAACAAGATTTAAGCTTGCTACGCAGGCCAAATTACAGAGAAAGAAAAGAAGAAACAATGGTAACAATACAAGTCGCCGGCGGTGGCTACAAACCACGAAGTGGACCCGTTAGAAAGAGAAGCGGTTGAATCCTACTACTATTCATGTGAGGAAACCTTTTAGTCCCGACTCATCGTGTTCAGGTGAGAGGACAAAGAGAAATAATAATATTGTAAGTGATGATCAGGTTCAAGTGCCTGATAATCCTAAAAATATAGAATAGTTGATGTTGCTGTAGAGCAGCCTACAACCAATGATAACAATATTTTTCTTTCAAGCTTCAATTTGTTGTCTTCGTCTCTTCCTTTCAATAATTTTCAGATCACTAACTTCAATTGGGTGGTTTTTGTAAATTTCAACAATAGAAGGAAATGTTATTTTAATAATTTTTATTTTTTTGGGTTTCACTAAAAATGACTAATTACAAGTTGACAACTCAATATATTTTCTCAAGTCAATAAAATTCAAACGTGACATCTTTGCTATGGGATTAGTTGTATTTTCGGCATTAAATCACAGGCACTTGATTGAAAATTTTTAATGAGTTCAAACACCCAATTGCAAAAGTTTTCCATTGAGGCATCAAAATAGAACATTTTCCATAAGACACTAAAATTATAATTAACCCAATAAAAAAATATTTATTCACTCAAAATATTTTTTTCACTAAAACACACATATAATCTGGTGGTTTTGGTGCAATATATTTGATATGTGCTACGAACTAGACCTTGGATTTCATTTCAAGGTACAGAAGTTGGAGTTGTGATAATTATTCATTTTTTTTTTTTTTTGTCTTATCTTATAATTTCTTAATCTAATTGAATAATATATTTTGCTCTTATTTCCATAATATTTTTTTAATACAATCAGAGGGCTCCAACATTCCATAATATTTTTCAACAGTTCAAAGCATCAACCAATATATATCACAGTTCAACATCACCAACATGTAGTAATCCATCATTCCGTCGAAGATTATTTAGCCTATTCGGTGCAATGAATGAAGAAATTCATAATGAAACTCACCCTACGCTTCAAGCCGCCCCTCCATCTATAGAGTTTCCTTGTGTTCAAACACCAAAAAAACTACAGAGTCGAAAGAGATGTGAAATGACATCTAGACGTATTCCAGTTGAAGTCTAGCCAGTAGACAAAATACTTCAAGTCCCTCCCCTATGATATATAACTATTACGAAGGTTATTGCACTAATAGCCTTTTGCACCACAACCTGAATGTAGTGTACCATCCGTAACATTAAAAATACCATTGGACATTCATTACACTTCGATGATGGTAACCTAACAAACCCATACTTTTTTCTCCAAAATAGGCGAGACGATGCCATTTCAATATACGATACCTACTTTCAATACTTATGCGGTGTGTTTCGGGACACGTGATGGATTTACATCTGAGATTATAAGGTTACATATTATTATATAAGGAATCAAAGTTAATGAAAATCACATGGATGATTTCCTTCATGGCATCAGAGCCCTAATTTTTTCTCCTGCCTTTTTTTTTTTTTTCCAACCCTATTTTTCTTCTTTCTCTTTTCTTCTTTTCTCCTACATGGCCAGCAAAACTGATTTTCACCCGGCCCTTGCTGTCAACAATGTCAAACATTTCATCCCCATTACTCTTGAGATGGAAAAAGGACAATATTCATCATGGGCTGAACTTTTTAAAATCCATTGTCGTGCATATAAGGTGATTGACTATATCATTCCTCTAAAGTCGTCTAAAAAAGGCAAGGAACAAGCAGCTGAAGTCGATCCTGAGTTATGGTCACGATTACACGCCATAGTTCTCCAATGGATTTATGGCACGATTTCTAATGAGCTTCTTAACACCATCCTAAAGGCGGATACAACTGCACACCGAGCATGGGAACATTTGAAAAATATTTTTCAGAATAACAAAAATTCTCGTGTTGTTTATCTGGAAAATCAATTCACTCATGTTCATCTTGATGATTTTTCAAACGTTTATGCTTATTGTCAGGAACTTAAGATGCTTGCTGATCAACTTTCAAACGTTGGTGCGCCGGTCTCAAATCAAAGGTTAATTCTCTAGTTAATTGCAGGATTGAATGAGAATTACGATGGTGTTGCTACTTTCATTCAACAAAGTGATCCATTGCCTCCGTTTTATGAGGCACGTTCAAGGCTTATCCTTTATGAGGCAGGGGGTGAGCGTTAAACTCAATGAGTAGGGTTAGACAACCCTCTCACCTCACACATTCACACATATGATAATCATATTATACAATCACTAGCCCTCCGGCTAATTATAATTGAGCAAGCGAGTATAAATGCACACTTATCACATAAGTCACAACAGTTCAAGTACTCAAATAATGGATATTAGTCTGTAGAATCACCCATTATAAACCAGGATCATGCTCACTCCCAAAGCATGCTTTAAAATAATTTCTGGAATGATAAGTCCATGATCCTTGTGTCAAGTGTACTTAGGGAGCCCACCCCAATTTGGGCTTGACGGATCCAATCCATCTTATTCTCCTTTCTTTTCTTTCCTTTCCTTACTATTATTTTTTCTTTTCTTTTTTCTTTTAGCATCGATGCCTATCGAAACATAGAGTGCATAGGGAGGGGCCACTCCACCCACTTATGGCCCGCTAACAACGTTCTCACCATGTCTATGCTCTCACCTCAGGGTGACCCATATCATTATAATTCCATAGAACATCACAAATAAGTCATATCCAATTATAAAATTTCACATCATTCACGTAGTGTGTAATATCCAACATCTCCATATATTTCAATATATAAATATGTGTATATATCCAATTATAAAATTTCACATCATTCACGTAGTGTGTAATATCCAACATTTCCATATATTTCAATATATAAATATGTGTATTTGATGCGACTCATGGCATACACGCCTATATGGTATTTTTATATGTATGCATGCTTCGTGTAAATATCATATTATTCATGTATTCGTGAATGTAAAATGCATGAGTGATGCGGAGTATTTAACTCTGTTCACAGTATTTTATCGTTCTTAATAGGACTATCTTTATTATAGCTTCCTTCCAGCTTTTGTTTTGTCATTCTAGAACCTTATAAGAATTTAGAAAAAAAAAATTCTAAGAATTCTAATTCGAGGAATTTAATTCTCATTCATTTATCAATTTTGGCCAATATAGTTGTTTGTCTTAACTTATCAAATTGTATAATTACTATTCCTTTATTTACTTATTTGCTCTAATATATAAACTTCAATATTTAGTCGTTAGTATCCATTAATGATATAGCTAATTTAATTTAGTTTTAGTTGTAATCAATTAATAATAATAGTAAGTAATGTTTTACAATAATAATAATAGTAATAATAATAATAATAATAGTTTTAGTCGTTAGTATCCATTAGTGATATAGCTAATTTAATTTAGTTTTAGTTTTTTGTTATAAGTGTTTTTGCCGTCGGCAACATCTCCTTTGTAAAGTCGGCAACATTTTCTTTATAAATCGAACTGTCGGTATTTTACACATCACAATAATAATCTACATCACATCCATTGAGCAATTCATAAAAATTTCTCATTCGCCATTATCAACGTTTCACACTCACAATATCGATATTTCTTTCTGTCTTTGATTAATTCATTAATAAATTTGAACCGTCCTAAATTTCAAATTTACACAGTTAACAAATCCTTGTTATCTTTAATTGATAATTTCTTTTTTTACTATTTGCTAATTTCACTAAGTAACTGAAAATTAGTCACACCGTTGATCTCTCACGATTTACTTACTACGTAATCAAAACCAATTTAATCAAATAACGACAATTTCTAATTTTGTATTTACACTAAAATTATTGAGTTGAATCTTAAAGTATACTAATAGCCGCTTGCGGATTCGAGTTCAGTGCGAGGAAATGGATATTCTACCTACTAGGGTCTTATCGAAACCTCATTGGCCGGTCATCGAACTGCTGCCGGCACGGCGGTTAGAAAATCACATATGCTCAGAATTCAGTAAAAATCCCACCATCCTGCTCAAAATTCAATGAGGGGCTCCTTTCTAATATCGATTTGTGGAGTTGGTGAGCCAATTGGCCGGAACTACTTCGACAGTTGACTCAAGAGCCACCGATCATGGTTGTCTCGCAAAATAAGACCAGTCGGTTTGGTGATAGGAATCGGCTCGGCGGTGGTGGACAGGAGTGTCGCGCGATGAAGGTCGGGGAGAGAGGAGTGTGAGTGAGAGTTTCCTTTTTTCTCTTTTATTCTACTTTCCTTTTTTTAAATTCTTTTCTTTCTAAATTTCTCTTTTAATTACTCTTATTCATATTTGAAACGTTATTTTAATACTTAAATGAATAATTGAGAAAATTTGTTTTTTGAGAGTTTCGACATTATGTTTTCGGGCTTGGGTCTAACTCCTTGAATTTGGACTTGGAGTTTAACTATTCAATATTTATAGCGCATGTAATGAAAATTTTAGATTTTTAATTTAAATAAATATTCACAAGTTTTTAAAAATAAAATTACGAGTCGTTTCAGTATATAATGTAATTTCTTATTTTATCAATAAAATTTAGATTTACATAGAAAATTAATATAATGAATCAAAATTATAATGTAATTTCTTATTTATCAATAAATTTAGATTTACAATGGAAAATTAATATAATGAATTGCAAAACTGTTAAATTATTGATTTAACCAATAAAATTTAATATTTTTACTATTTTTATCAATTTATAAAGCTTAATAGGGTGTTTTTTGGTGAAGCTAATGTTTCTCTTCACCTCATCTGTACTTTTTATATGTACCAGTTTTCCTTGAATAGCGTTCCACTGTTAATTTGTACTATGTTTTATTTTTTACTTCGTTGAAGTAAATGTAATTTAATTTATATGTAACATTTTCTTACTAAATTTAATAAATATTTTTAATTAATTTTTTTTGTTATAATTAATAATATTATGAAAAATTTATATTAATAAAGAATCCAAGAAGAATTCAAACAATATAAAAAAAATACTTTAATGAAATAACAAAATTAAATAATAAATTTTATCGAAAGTGATGAATAGCTTAATTTGACTTATAATTTTGGAATTTATATTGTAGAATGTAGATATTATATATTATAAATAGGTAGCTATTATAATAATTAATATATTAATCATTATTTTAGATATAATTTTGATATTTTTCTCTTTTTTTATTTTATTAAAGTCCGTGAGCGTATACTTAATTTGAGGATTGCTTTTTTGAGAAAAAATTATTATTTTATATCAATTACTAGATCTTATAATATTTTTTTATAAATAATATTACATTACATTTATTCCTTGTAAAATAACTATCACTACAAAAAAATCGCCATTTTTATAACCAGTCAAACTAAAGATTTAATAAAAATAATAATAAACATATTATATACTTACCATATTTAATATGTGCCTTATATAGTATAATATAATCAATGAAAATCAAATTACTTTTGCCTTTTAAACAAATAAAATTAAAATTCTTAAATATATTATTTTTTATAATATTTAATTCATACATTATTTACTATATAATGTAATCTTTTAGTTTATTTAATAGAAATTAGAGTTAAATAGGAATTTAATATAATCAATTAAAATTAAATTACATTTCTTTTTCAACTGACAAAGTCAAATTTTTAAAAAATATTATATTCTTACCATATTTAATAAAACCAAAAGGTTCCCAAATTTTTTGAAAAAAATATTATATTCTTACATATTTAATATATATTATTATTTAGTTATATATATATTTTATTATATTTATATCAAAAATAAATCTTATAATAATATTTCTTACTAAATAATAATAAATTAGTAAAAATAATTAAGTCAATCAACTGTAAAGATTATAATAAAAGTAATAATAAAAACAAATTAAACATTCTCAGCGCATATTTAATATGTACCTTCTACAGTAATAAATAAACTACTCAAATCAATTCGATCTTTATTTTTTCCCCAACCAAATAAAATTAAATCCTTAAGATCATTATAGGTTTTACCCCTATTAAATAGATACAACTAAATTAGTAATATAATTATAGTTTACCTTAGTTTATTAAATATAATTTAGGATTAAAGTAGGAAATTGAATGTTGAGAATACTCAAAATTGATTATTCTTTATTTGTCAATAAAGTTTTTGAAGATACTATATTATTACCAATATTTAATAATAATAACATTATTAGTGTATAATATAAATTTATTATCTTTATCCAAATAGATTTTAATAGAAAATTAGTAATCATCAAATATAATTTAATTATTTTTGTATCTGTTTGAATCAATAAAATTAAAAAATCATTAAAGAGAATAATTATGGTAAATTATAACAGTAAACGAATATGAAAACCCAAAAATTATACATAAAAGATATGAAACCAAAAAGGTTAAAAAAAATAAACAGATTCACTGAGATTCTTCAATTTTTACATATCAATTGTAGAATAATAAATTGTTGGTTTGATGTGATTCACATGCCTATCTTGCTAGGAGGTTTTTTTGGTAATTTCTAACACTAATTTTAGAACTCTCATCACAATATAAATATGCAATAATGCAATGGAAATTTAGGAGAGAGGAGCTAGAAAGCGTGTGGTTTACTTGCAGAAGAGAGCTTTTATGGTGGTGGAATCTGCTACTGCTGCTACTACTGTAATAAGGTACTGTTAGACACTAATCCTTTCTTTTTTTTCTTTATTTTTTGTATCGTTCTAAAGCTTGACAGCAGTTTGAAGAAGGAAAAAAAAAAAAAAAAGATTCAAGCGATTAAACCTGCTAATGTCTTCTTTTTCCTACTAATTGTTTTCTTGAAATAAACTAAATTAGATCAGTCTAAACTTAATTTAACTTAATTTATGATTGTAATACTATTTTAAATCTTTTTGGGTTTTCAAGATCCGTGTTTTAAAACCTGCTGATCCAATTAATCTAGATTCGTATCGAGCATATCCATAAAGGGGAGCAAAAGACTCTCTTTTAAATGTTTAAAGGGACTTCATACTCAAGTCTGGTTAATTAAAGGAGAAGAGATCCCTGCCCATCTCACCCTTCAAAGGTCAAATCTTTAATAGTTATTATTCATATTCCCTTCAAAAAAAAAAAAAAAATTATCCATATTAAAAAGAAATGAAGCTCAATTTGTCTTCTGAA